TCTCCTCCCAAAAACATATATATTTTTGAAAATACAACAAATACAACTATTCCAAAAAAAGAGACCAGAAGATACAGGATAACATCCAGGCTACATCTACACCTATGAGAACCCAGCACCTCACAAAGGGGGTAAGATACAAGCTGAGACCCGGCGGGATGTGAGGCCCCTCACCCCAGCTTCCAGCGGGAGGAAAGGAGTCAGAGTGGGAAGGGAGAGGGAGCCCAGGACTGCTAAACACCTGGCCCTAGCCAAGCACACCGGAGCGCAAACACACAGTGCATGAGGTGCTGGGTACTAGGGAAATGGGACAGAAAAACCTGCGAGTGGGTCCCCACAGCCGGTGCACCTGGGACAAAGAAAAGCGAGTGCTTTTTGAAAGTATTAAAGGGACAGGGACCCCACAGCTGGATGGAGGCATCCTGGGATACTTAGCACAGCAGGTGGGAATCCCAGGGAATGCTGGGCACCCTAAGCCCTGGGTGGCAGTGCAGCTTGGAGGCCCCTCACGGAGATAAACAGCCTCCCACCCGTTCCCCCAGCATGACTCCACCACAGAGACAGTGGCCACACCCACAGCAACCAAGAGCGGAGCTTCCTTCACAGTGGCTGGGCAAGAATCAACAACCCGTCTGCGTGCAGATGCCCAGCACAGGCCGCTAGAGGTCGCCATTCTCCCAGGAGAGGAAGGCCACAAACTAACAAGAAGGGACATTCTCCCAGCCGACACATGCATGAGCTCCCCGCAACTACCTCTATTGCCATGAAAAGGCAGAAGAATTTGATACAGACCAGATTAACCCAGACAGTTTCCCCTGAAAAGGAATCTGGGGAGACAGACCTAACCAATCTTCCTGAAAAAGAATTTAAAAGTAAGGTCATAACCATGCTGATGCACTTGAGGGAAATATGCAAGAGCTATGAAGACAGAGTATAGAATTAAAAAAATCTCTGGAAGGATTTAAAAGCAGAATGGATGAGATGCAAGAGGCCATTGATGGATTAGAAACCAGAGAACAGGAACACATAGAAGCTGATGCAGAGAAAGATAAAAGGATCTCCAGGATTAAAACAACATTAAGTGAACTGTGTGACCAATCCAAAAGGAACAATATCGACATTATAGAGGTACCAGAAGAAGAAGAGAAAAAGGGATAAAAAGTGTCTTTGAAGAAATAATTGCTGAAAACGTCCCCAAACTGAGGGAGGAAATGGTCGCTCAGACTACAGAAATACACAGAACCCCCAACAGAAGGGACCCAATGAGGACAACACCAAGACACATAATAATTAAAATGGCAAAGCTCAAGGACAAGGACAGAATTTTAAAGGCAGCTAGAGAGAAGAAAAAGGTCACCTACAAAGGAAAACCCATCAGGCTATCATCAGACTTCTCAACAGAAACCTTCCAGGCCAGAAGAGAATGGCATGATATATTTAATGCAATGAAACAGAAGGGCCTTGAACCAAGGATACTGTATCCAGCACGATTATCATTTAAATATGAAGGAGGGATTAAATAATTCCCAGACAAGCAAAAGTTGAGGGAATTTGCCTCCCACAAACCACCTCTACAGGGTATGTTATAGGGCCTACTCTAGATGGGAGCACTCCTAAGGCTAAGAAGATGTAGCCAGAGAAAATAAAATCACAGCAAAGACCAACCAGATACAAACTTAAGGTAAAAAATAAAATCAACTACTCACAAAAGCTGTCAAAGAAAACACAAAAGAGCACAGAATAAAACACCCAACATATAAAGAATGAAGGAGGAGGAATAAGAAGAGAGAGAAATAAAGAATCAACAGACAGTGTTTATAATAGCTCAATAAGCAAGTAGAGTTTGACAGGAAGATATTAAAGAAGCTAACCTTGAACCTTTGGTAACCACGAATCTAAAGCCTGTAATGGCAATAAGTACATACCTATCGATAATCACCCTAAATGTAAATGAACTGAATGCACCAATCAAAAGACATAGAGTCACTGAATGGATAAAAAAACAAGACGCATCTATATGCTT